ACTTCTCTTCCAATACCGTGCTTGATCATCTTGCTCAAAAGATGATTGAAATGATCGAATGTCTGGATAAGTTTTTCATTTGCCGTTTGTTGGAAAGCACCGAACTCAGAGAGTAATAGAGTTTGGATAGAATGCTCTAGCTCCTCATCGGTGGAATACAACTCTTTAAGTCTATCCCAGATCTCTTTCGCCGTGGTGCAAGGGCTTACCAACCGAAAAATATCGGACTGTAAAGCAAATCGGATCATTCTTATGGCTTTAACATTACACAACAACTTATCTTTTTCATCTTGAGGAATCTTCTCCACATCAGTCAAGAGTTGATTGTACTCCTTTTCAGTCTTAATAGTTCTATTTGTTCCAGAATGAACAAAAGGACCCAATGTTATTGCTTCCCATATAAGATAGCCATTGTCTTCAGAACCAACGACATAGTCCTCAAAGTGATGCGTCCAAACCTCATAATCTTGAGTGTAAAGAATCAAGATTTTGGTTGTGGATCCAATGTTGTTGGAGATGTTGATCGGATTGGTTTGAGAATCTTCGTGAGACATGATGAACTTTTTCAGATATCTGCTAAGAATCAGACTTGTAAAGATTGAATAGGGTAATATTGAGATCTAAGAACAACGTCAATGAATGAATGACGGCTTAACAGATCCAATAATAGCGGAAACCCTAAGAAAATTCTTCAAACAGAAGAGATGCGTCTGATTTACACAGCCTCCTGCTCTGATACCAACTGATGAGAATAAAGTTCTCTTAGATTGATACATTGAAACAGATATCAATAAGATAATAAACCCTAATTATGAATCAAACGGATGTCGAATGATTAAAACTGCAACACCTCAGAAGAGCTCGATGAAGAACTTCTACTTTAGAGGCGTGCTAGGGTTACAATACTTCTCAAAGGAAATATTCAGAATCGTAACAAATGTGATGCATGCATGCACCATAAATACTAAACCCTAATAATAAACACACGGTTGGACAGGCCCAAAACGTGAATACAAATGGACCGAACTGAACTAAGCCCAATGGCGCAAACCATAGACTCAACAGAGCTACCCATTGCCACCCTTTGTTAGTCCAAGTTAGTGTGTCGGTTAACCACAAACGCTCCACTAACGACTCGACAAAGTGAAATGTGGAATTTCATGGATTAGCACCAAATTCAAATTTTCCTAAAGTAACAAATATTGGGAATTTATAAAAACATTTAGTTACTTTATATTTATCATTATACTTATTAATGAGAGATTAATGTCCTATGCTACCCGTTCGGCTAACGACCCACCGCTAGTCAAGAGTGTGGTGGGTAAGAATGGATACCCAATGGCGGTCATTTTATAGGCTGCTTCCTTAAACACCCCTTATAGACCAGCTTCATGAATGAGGCCTACTAACTGTAAGACTGACTATTCTTATACATATATATAAATTAAACTATTAATATTATAATAGTATAAGGGTGTATTTTAAACTTTTAAAATACGAGGGTTCAAGAATTTCATATTTCAAAATTAAACTTTTAATTAAATTTTAAATTCCGAAACCAAAGGGTTATTTTTTAAACTTTTCAAAAATACTAGATCAAATTTTAATAATTAAATTAATCAAATAATTTTGTCTTTATCTTAAAATTTGACCAAATCTCTTAATTTGATAAGGATATAGATTTACCATTCCAGAAAATTCATTTTTAGATAGTTAAAACGAATTTGGAAATTATCCTAATCAAACAAAGATATCAAAATTGAAAAATCAGGGATCTGACAGCCTGACTCGTCGAATTTTTGCATTGAACTCGTCGAGTAGGCTCAACTCGTTGAGTCCCATGTGGAACTCGTCGAGTCTGATGAACAGATTGACGAATCTGTTCCCTCCTCCTTTGGACAATTCACATATGCATCATATTCAACTGAAAAACATATTAGGCTCTGATACCACTGAAAGGGTTATGAGCATAACTACATTCTATGTGTTCATGCAACCCTAATTGCTTTGGATCTAAGTTTTTCACTAGTTGAACATGCAATTGAATACCACCGAAATAAACCCTATATCTAGCATACAATTTCGAAATTCATATAACAAAAAAGGTTTTGATGATTACCTTGTTTGTTATGTATTAATAACAAGAACTCCTTGTAGATCCTTGACTCTTTAAAGCTTAGTGCCTCAAATGTTGCACCTCTAATGGCTCACAAACACCACTAGCAAGAAGATGAGAAGGACAGAAGAGGAAGCTCTTAGAATTTCGGCTAGGGTTCTCTGGATGCAATCATTTTCCGAAAATCCTAAGCCATGGGGTTCTTTATATAGCTGAGGGCTGCTAGGGTTTCTGGAGGAAACCCTAATTTCCTGCTTAAGGCTTAAGCATCCCAAGGACCTCCTACTAAGAGGCCTTAGACGAAATCTATAGGGCCTCCCTATAGAATTTCTTCCACTCCTAATTAAGGAGTCTATCAGCCCAGTTCACAATTACCAATGATTTGCAAAACACCCCATATTCTTTTAATCAGTTCCTTTAATCCTAAAATTAATTCCAAATTAATTTATGATTAAATACTACTTAAATAACATGATTTCAAATTAATATATTATTTTTATAATACATTAATAAATCATTTTATTATTCCAAATAATAAATTCAACCTCTCTCTCCAAAAATCATCCCGTGAAGTTGCTAGGGTGAAGGCAACCCAAAAGGACCATGCTACTATCAAATCAAGTACATACCAATTATAGTTATGGGCTTAGACACATAATCCAACAGTCTTCCACTTGGATAAGTCTAATAACTACAATTGCAAGTATAACTTCAAAATTCAACCAGCAATCGTATCTTTCAAAAGTCGTTGTCGAACTCTGAACTAGTCAGACGTGTGTCCTTAAGATAAGGGATCATATAATCCTCCATTTTGCAAGATATCATGTGGACAAAAAACTCTTAATAGAATCATAAAAATAATTTTTTGGTCGCAATTTTAGCTCGGATTCACGTTACAAATGCTGAAAACTAAATTACACTCAGTATAAATTCACAGTGTGAATAATAATAAGTTCGAGTCACATTGTGAAACATAAAAATTCTATTATATATATTTTAGATTCATAGTGTAAATAAATTCACTTTTGAATTAAAAAAAATCAATTTTTGAGTAATAAAAATATAAAACTATTATAAAATTATAAGGACATATACTTTGATTCACATGTCAATTTCACTAAATTAATTTGTCAGTGATCAAAGTGTTAAAATAGTAAGTCAGATTCACATTGTGAATGGTAAAAGCAAAATTATATGTGATTCATATTCACACTGTGAATGTTATTCACAATGTGAATCTAACCTAAATTTTGTTTTTTTTTACATCCATGTGAATATGAATATATATTTAAAGAGTAACAAAATTATGAATTTTGATACATTTATTTTATTTTTTCGATAAAAAATATTCTTACATATTAAAAAAATCTAACAAAACGAATTCGGTTTTTTTGAAAAAAAAAAACGTTCGTGCACATCCACCATAAGTGATGAAAATCTATGGATGATATTGGTTCCTTGGTTCTATAGTTCCATGGTTTAAAATGGATTCTTGTTGAACTTATATATATATATATATATATATATATATATATATATATATATATATATATATATATATATATATATATATATATATATATATATATATATATATATATATATATATATGCTTATGTTATTTTGTTTTAGTAACTATTGTGTGCCAGAATGCATAGATCTTGACCACCGGATAGAATACAATCAAATGTCAAGATCTGAGGGTCTATGATATTAGAATAGGAAAACATGTACCATATAATCGCATAAATTTCAGCATAAGGGCATTTTAGTCAATTAACCTATATTAAAAAAGGAAATTTTCGGATTTTTAGGGATAATTAATTCCTTTATTTTAAAAATTTTGAATATTTTAAATTAATTCAAATTTAAAAATCCGATTTTATTCTATCAGAATGATAGAATGCAAACCATAAACTAGTAAATATATTTTTCGATTTTATTCTGTCAGAATGACAGAATGCCAACCATAAGCTAGTAAATACATTCTAAAAGAATACACAAAATCGATTCTTGAACTAATAATATACCGAATAATTACATTGTATGATTGTGATTTATTGAATAATAACAACATTCTGAAACAATAACAAGTGTAATTCTTAAAAAATAACAACATTCTTAAACAGTGAGTGACCATTCTTTAATTCATTCGTCAAGCCTTTCCCATAAGGTCTTCAAGTCATTTCTATCACAAATTCATTGCCAAATATTTTGTAGTGATACACTTGTAACAACTGCACATTAAACATATAAATAATTAACTACAATTCTATCAGAATACAGCAATAATATTCTTACAGAATAAACTATTCATGCATAATGGTTTTGAATATTCTTAAAGAATTTGTATTATCAAGAATATACCCAACGAACAAAACATTCGAAATATAAATACATGAAAAGATCATGTTAACACAAAAGGTGACTAAGAAAAAAACAATTAGAATATATAGACCATCTTCATAAGGGAACAATAAGTAGGAAGAAGACCCTCCAAGGGTAAATAAATCATTAATACAAAGTATATGAAGAAGTGTGAACTTGTTCAACCATTTTTCTAGAATGTAATCCTCGAACCATCAATTTTTAATCGAAAAAAGACTCCAAAAACATAAAATACACCAAATTAAAGAATTATTCTAACAGAATATTGATCGTGCAAGGTATAACTTGTATAGTTGTATGCAAGCTAATAGCAATATAATTGACATCTCATCTTCACAATTATTTAAGTCGACCAATAAAGCAGTAGGCTTCAAAGAGAAAAAAAAATCTCAAAAAAAATTGATATCAAGAGTTTGAATTTGAATGAATGAGTTGTGATTTGTACCTGTAGTCCTGGGGTTAACTCGTTCAATGTGATGGCAAAAGATGTTAGATTTTATCGAGTGAGATGAACAGGAGGCAGTGTCCTTTGCCACAGCATATATGCATCACTCATATCCTTTGGTTTCACATTTGTAATTCCATTAATGTAATACATGTTGTCGTCCCATTTCCCAAATACTGTTGCGTGCTTTTTTCCATTAACATCTTCAACAAACCCATGTACCTTTTCAACAATAATTAGGGATCAAAATTCTACAACAATTAATCTTAATGTGACCATTTTTTAAGCATATTTACGTGGTGTGGATTTCATTCAAGAATTGACTATTCTTTGAACTTGAGCTTGCATGAATATTCTCTATTACCACATATATGCATCATTCCATGATGATCACAGTAAACTTTACCCAGAATAAGATTAAAAATGCTGGTTGTAACCTGACAAGACGACACCAAAATCAAAATGAATAAATAAATATGGGGAAAATTGACTAAAATCTTAAATGACCATTTTACACTTTTTGCATTTTTCATACCTTGCTCCACTGGAAAACCTCACCATCATCAAATTCTAAGGTAAGAACGCCAACAGGGTCAAGTTGAATTGATCTCCCCCAAAATTTAGTTCTGATGTTACTGTCCCCCCAAAATTTCCACCCTCTGCCTTGCGAATGACATGCTATGAGAGTAGGATGATGACTCACCTTTTCAGAAAAGAATCGGACTCCTTTCTCGGGGTAATCAGCCTCATAAGTTTCCCTAACAAAGGATTGAAAGGTTTACAATGTCGTTATTCTGAAGAAGCATATCCAGAAACAGAAAAAGCAGCAACATTTAAAACTCTTTCAAGACTGTTTCCATGTTCATAAGCATGATCTAGAAGGTAAGAGTACTCCAGATCCTCAAAGCATTTTTGTAGAGATGAAATGGCCTCATTGAAATAAACAGGGAGACAGACACATGTCAGATCCTTTCCAACGTTGTCTTTAATCAAGGACCACATAATCACTCCCTTTTCTTTCTCACAGAGATCCGAAAGCTTCTTTCTTCTCTCAATAATCACTTCACCCGAGTTATTAGACTAACCTGAAGTTGATTCGAGGATATCTTAAGAGAAACCAACATACGAAGATTCTCAAAGGCTTCAGGAAGATTTATCGGATAGAGCGGCCTCTTCAAGATGATTCGCCAAGCTTTTTTCGATCTCCGCCAGCCGCGACCTAGCGATTCAACAAATTCATGATCGGAACACTCGCCTAGGGTTTTGTACATCATCGACAGCTGCACGCATGGAATAGAATTGAGTAGCTGCGATGGTTATAAAGAAGAGAAATTAGGTCAAACATATATTTATTTTGTTTCCTTAATTGTAAGTGCAAAAAACCAGAAATACCCTTTTTGATTTAATTAATTATTTAATTATTTAATAAATTGTGATTGGTGCAGTTAGGAACACAATAGTTGCTAGAAACCTTTGAACCTATATATATATATATATATATATATATATATATATATATATATATATATATAACTCTTGGTATATTAATAAAACTAAAAATTATATATACAATAAATTCCAAGTTAGGCTTATGTATAGTGTCGGTTTTGAGCCGACCTGGATACCACCTAGTCTGGAGTCGGGTGCATTTCCCTCTTCTCACCACATCTGCTATCTGTTTCACCACTTTAAACTTTCTCCTTGCCTTACTCTTATCTCTATGACTTTATCTCTTCCCATTATATTTTCAAATACGAAAGACGCTTTCTCGATTGATTAGGAGCATCGAATACAGGCAGAAGATCCCTCCGACCAAGCATCTCAAAAACCTAAGCTCGGCTTCGCCATTACCAATCACCATCTTCAAAGGGTAAATCTAAAGCTGTAAAAGAAGAAGACGATGATTTGTTGTGGGTTCAACAATTGGATACTTGTCGTGTATGTTTTTTGGAGGAGGAGATGTGGCATCTTCCTATTCCCATTTTGATAAACATTGCCTTCTTACTTTCTTCTCTCTCGCCAAGAGTTGGTTCCAGAGGAAAGAGACAATACCTGCGTCAATGCTCTCCTGTCATGTTGATGTTGTCACGTATGTCTTCGATTTCATTTTTCTACTACTACTACTCCCTTCCTAGGGTTTAAGTTTTAATGAATTTGCTACTGCTTTTCCATTTTGATTATTATAATTGGGATTTAGGGCTTATCTACTTTAGAATATGTTGCTTTGAATCAATGTTATATGGTGTTTAGGTTATATGAGCTGTTTATGTTCTATCAAGGTACTTGCTTTTTGGTGTCCTGTAGGGGATATAAAACAGATTTCAATATGGATTAAAAAATCAGATACCCACATGCTTTTTGCTTCTAATCCATCTGTTAGGTTTTCTTTCTAAACAAGAAAAGAAGATGAAAATAGGTTTGTAAGAATCTAAGTGAGTTACCTTACTTATTTTATATATTTGTTGATATGAATCTATTCATTTATGTGTATATGGAATCTGATTGTAACTTATCCTGGCAGCTATTGCCTTTTCTATTATCTTTTTTTCTCTTTCGGAAGTCTTATCATTTCTTGCTTGCTATTTGCAAGGTTCATTCAAGGCCTAGAGAAATATGAATGTTTAGGTATTTGCAGGTAAAATATTTTTAACTCTTTGATTGTAGTTTTTTTAATTTGACCATAGCTTGCTTCAAACCACATTTTAGTTTCTACTGTCTTTTTCCTTTAGTATTACTTTTTCTCATTATCTTTCAATTTGTCTCCTATTATTATCTATATTTTTTTCTTTCTATCTCTGGAGCTCATCTGAGAGAGTGACATTTTTGTTAATGAGTTACAATTGTAATTTTTTTTCAAAAGTAACAAAAATCATGGAAATATGTTTTAATAGCAATATACTCTTAAAAATCTTATTGATTTATTGTTTGATGTTTTCTATTACGACTTGAAGTTTGATTCTAAACAAATAAGCTTTCTGACCAATGAAAAGTATGTGATACCTTCCTAGTTTAATATTTAAGACCTAGGGCTTTTGACTTAAAAGTCCCTAAGTTTTCAAAATATCTTCGGTTTAGTCCCCGCGACGAATTTTGGTGCGTTAATGCCCAACATTTGGGCTCTTTTTGTCAAAAACGCCATTTAGTAGGTTTGGAGCCGGTCATCCGGTGACATCCAACCTGTTAAAGAAATACCCTTATAAAAAAGGGAATCCCAACGACTTTCGTCCCCCCTCTCTCATTTACGTAGCCCTTCTCCCTCATTTACGTAGCTCAATCAGAGCATCTTCACGCACCAATGGCTGCATCGTCTTCAAACTCAGCAACTTCACACAAAACAAAACTTGTTAAATGCTATTGTGGTGATGTGTGCTACGTAGCAGTGTCAAGAACACCAGATAACCCTGGTAGAAAATTTTGGGGATGCCCTAATTTCAAGGTATTTCATAATTTTTGTGTTAAATTGAAATGATTACTATTAGCAGGATTTTAGGGTTTTGATTACACATTTTTCTCCCTTTTAATTTTTAGGAGTCTTCAAGGTGTCATTTTTTCAAGTGGGTGGATGAATGTGGGAACAAATCTATCCAGCAAGAAGATGAATTGATGGGTTTGATGAAGATTGTTGGTGAATTGATGGGTTTGATGAAGATTGTTGCAGGTTTGTTAATGTTTAATGCAATAATGCTTGTAATTGTTGTCCTAAAAATGTAATTTAGGTATTTTACTTTTGCAATGTGGTTGGTAATGTAATGCAGTTGTGTTTTGAATTGGAATCACTGTAATTTAGGCAATGATAATGTAATGGTAATCCTTTTTGTAGTCTTTCTAATTTGGTATGTGCAAAGTTGTAAATGGTAACCCAATTTAGGCATTGAATAATATCAATAGAGGGCAGTTTAGGCATTGAATAATGTCATGACATAGGGCAATTCAGATGATATAATTGATACAAAATTAATATGTTTTAATCCATACCAAAGTATGATGCTATAAAGCATAAAAAAACAAATGTCAGATGTTATAATCCACACCTAAGATGCAATTATCCAAACCTATTGTAAGATGCTATAATCGAATAATAGTACCATAAACCATATTTCATAGAAAAGGGGTGTGCATTACATAATGTTTCATATAATGTTTCATGTAGCAATCATCCAATTGTGCCAAAAGGCCTATCAAACAAGCCTATCAAGGCAACATATAAGGCAACACATATGAAAATTGTGTGTTTGATGCAAAAACCAGGAATAACAAAAGATATACGAAAAGAAGGAATCATATGCTAGTGATTAACGTCCTAGTTCACCCCTTTTCATAATCACTACCCAACTAATCCAACTTGATAGGTTTGGTAGCATTGGAATCACTACCATCTTTGTCATACACAGTCTTCTTCAACTTTAGCTTCAATATCTTCTTAGAAGGTTTCCTTTTCCTATGCAAAGGTTTGGTAGACAGGTTTGGCAAGTTATCGACTATATCATCCACTCCCTCAACAGCAGCTTCAATCCCTGCTTCCACTTGTACCTCATCCACTCCCTCATCATCAGCAAACACCTCAACATCATCAACTTGTACATCATCCACTACCTCATCCACTTGTACATCATTAACTACCTCAACATCATCCACTATCTCATCCACTTGTACATCATCAACTTCATCATCAGCAAACACCTCAACATCATCTGGATGCCCTTCTTGATCTTGTAATTCCTGTTAAACCAATATATGACATGTAATTACTATATGGGACAAATAGAATAAAATTGAATTTAAGTAGAATAAATAGGAGACTAATTACCAGTTCAACAGGTGTCATGTTATCTAATGGCATTGTTATCCCTTTACTCCCTTCAATTTCACCAATGTTGTATCCTGACTCTAGTAGCATGGCTACATCTTCTTCATTCAGTTGGATTTTCTCAGGTATAACATCATCTGCATTACCTTCAAGAAACTCAGGTTCTTCCTCTTAAATGTCTCTAAGAATTTCATTTATACTGTGACAACCCGAAATTTCTATCTTGTACATTCATTCAATTCAATCACAGTCAGACTCGTTTCTGCTATCTTTTAGCATTGTTTAGGGTCTGTTTGAGTGTTCTAAGCCTAGTACATTCAAGGTTTGGGTTTAGGGACGAATTAACTTAAGTTCTTCGTATTGAATTCGAGCCAAACACTCCTTCAAGAGGAGTGTACGGCCGCACACATGAGTGTACAGCCGTACACTCAAGGTGGCCGTGTAAGTGATTCTTCATGTACCTTGTTATATTTGAAAGACCACTAGATTCAAGCCTTGATTCTTCATGATTCAACATCCCTTCATGATCTTGAAGGGAGTACGGCCGTGAACCCTTCATAGGTTCATTGGCCGTACACACCCCAAGACCTTCCAAAATGAGAGCTTTGTCCATCTTCTTGTTGTACATTTGACACACTAGTTTCCCCATGGATCAAACACCCATTTTTGCATGTTCTTCCATGAGTGTACGGCCGTACACTCCATGACTGTACACTCAATGGCAGTACACCACTTTGGCCGTACACACCTTGGCTGTACACTCCCTTATGTGGTTGTAAACCCCTTTAGTACAATCACATGTGATTGTAACACTTCAATTCAAGTGTTTCCTAGTCCCTAAAGTGATTTCCTATCATAATTAGTTGTTATATACAGTAATTATATCCATATATGTGTCATTATATGCTTAATAGGATCCGCTTGTGCTCAAGACTTCACTTGACACTTAGCATCCTATATTGACCTTTCACTCGAATCACCCACATAAGGTGAGTTCATACCCTTATAATCTACCTTTTAAATGATTTTAAATGCTTTTTAGGAGGGGGGGGGGATACAAGTTGAACACAATTGTTAAATTGTGTTAATAATTATATGTGATGTCAATCACATAAAAGGTTTTCTTATGCCTTTAAATACAGTGGTAACATTAAAAGATTACCAAATACTTTCAAAATAACTTAAAGTCATGCCAAATCTTTAAAGTTATGTAAACTCTTCTTAAAACATTGTTAAAACTCTTTTAATACTGTTAAACTCTTTGAAAAAGGTTTTATAAACTATTTCATATTATAATTGTCAAAATCATGTTCATATATGTATAAGTATATAAATAAGACGTAAAGGGCTTTGGACTAATGAGTTGTCTTATCTCCTTTTCCTTGTTTGGATGTGGTTTAAGGTGAGGTTATTTGTCCGAGGGTCGTTTCCTTCTTAATTATATACATTATACATATGGGAATATAAAAGGTTACTTCAGTCGGTATCATTACCTTTGTATCACGCTGAGGAAAGGGGTATGTTCATGAGAGAACATGCTAAACGGATGGACCATATAAATTATAATAGGTATAATTTATGATTCAAAACTAAATATACATGTATGATTCACGATTGTATACTTTACAGTCCAAGTATATTAGGAAAGGAAAGTACTAATAATTCATTTATTTACACCAGGATACGTATAATACTTTTAGTATATGGATAATATATTAACGGAGTAATAATAAATCCTACCGGGTTTGCACTAACAGCGGTACAAATACAACGTACCAGAGTTAGCAATCACGGAGTAATAATACATCCTACCGGGTTTGCACTAACTGGGGTACAAATACAACGTACCAGGGTTAGCAATCACGGGGTAATAATACATCATACCGGGTTTGCACTAACAGGGGTACAAATACAACGTACCAGGGTTAGCAATCACGGGGTAATAATACATCATACCGGTTTGCACTAACATGGGTACAAATACAACATACCAGGGTTAGCAATCACGGGGTAATAATATATGATACCGGGTTTGCACTAACAGGGGTACAAATACAACGTACCAGAGTTAGCAATCACAGGGTAATAATACATCATACCGGGTTTGCAGTAACAAGGGTACAAATACAACATACCGGGGTTAGCAATCAGGGGTAGGGGTAAAAAATAAATCTTACTGGAAACAAATGAGAAATCTATTTTTCCAGATAAGTATACGAGATATAAACAACTTTATCACATTTTAAACCCTAATTAACCAGGATAATATTAGGGTAGTTATTCACCAGTAGTTTATTCTTTTTAAGAAATACTACTGTAGTATTCACTTTTCATAATTCAAAATGGAACGGTTTTATGGGATTAAAACTACTTATCAGATGTAAAGAAGAAAATATAGAATTTTCTGGGACTTCATCATTCGTTCTCTTAAAACTAGTATAACATAAAGGACCTTAAATGGTTAACTTTATAATTCCTTAGTTTAAACACCAGAGTTATACATAATTAATATCCGACTAACAGTGGAATGTGTGTTTTCCGCATTACTTCATATTCCTTGTTTGGTTGTGGACTTAGGGCAGATTCACACATTTAACTGTTAGTTCGATATTAAGTTATATATGATTTGTATAAACTAAGTAATTGTAGAGGGAACTATTATGGTTATCATATTGTCACGTCAGAAAATATAGGATTTTCTGGAGGAACCAGTTAACTTTTCCAAGAACTTAGGGTATACTTCATATAACTAAAATACTTATGAACTCACCAGCTTAAATGCTGATCTACTCTTTCAAAATAACTTGTATTCTCAGGAATCCAGTAGACAGGTACACTCCCGAAGCTTTTGAGAAGACTGCCTAGTACCGATCTGCGACTCTTGTCTTCTACTGTATCTACTTTGATGTTTGAATATGTAATGTTTAAACACTTATGTAAAACTTATACTTATTAATGCAATGGTTGTTTGTACTTTGATTACTATAATGCATGTGTTGTGATAATTACATGACGTCCTCCGCCCCCAAACGTTTCCGCCGTTCTAGTTTGCGGGTGTGACAGATTGATATCAGAGCATTGTTTATAGTGAACTCAGTATATCAGTCATAAAAGATATACAACTATAAACACATTGGGATAAAAACACTCTAACCAAGAATTATACTTTAAAATATAACAATATTTTATAAAAGTATAAGTACATGCAGAATATATATACTAGAACGAGTATCACAAGAAGAACAAAACAAAAGTATTTGGATGTTGGACATTGCAATTAAACCTGGACAGTTATGTAATCATATCTCGGATCAATATAGCCTGATCAACTATATTTATTTGAGATATGACCAACATGTGTTTGGGAGTGATTGTAGTGTTGCAACAAATCTAAAACTTACCTAGGTACCCGAAGAATTCTAGAACCAAACATAAAGGTTAAAATACTATAGGAGTATTTTAGAATTCTATAACAATAAAACTGAAAACTTATAAACTTCCTATATCTAGAAGTCCAAGAATCAATCGTATAATTAAAATACTATAGAAGTATTTTAAATACCATAAATAAACTTTTGGGAAATTTTAAAAGATCATTTCTGGTAAGTCTATAATTACTAAGTGGATAGGTTAAGGTTATATATAGTTGAGATTTTATAGACTTAGAATATGTGATTTTCACTCTACTCCCTTTTCCTTGTTTGGATGTGGTTTTAGAGTAGGATTACTTATTCGAATGTCTATTTGATCTGGATTATATATAATCGGTACACACTATGTGATTATAGAAGGAATGGAAAGGATCACCTTCATAAAAATTTAATTTTTCTCATAGATTCTTTAGACATTCCCATTCTCGTATAAACCCCTTAGATAGATGTGGTCACTCCAGCAATCAATAGAAGAGTCTAGGAGAATCCAGCAGAATTTCATTATGAGAATTCTGAGAAAGAAACAGATGAGAAGTAAAGAAACTATAGAAATAATTTAGTGCCCTTACCCTATTAAGGACACCAATGAGAGGTTCGCATGAACTTCTGGGATTCGAACTCTTCATTATGAAGTAATGGAGATCAGTGTAAGAATCGGAAGTAAGAAGACATAGAAATTCAATATACCTACGAAGGAGAAGGACACCATATAGATACCAGGAGAGAACAAATCATTACCGCCCAGAATAAAACGGAGAACAGAGGAAAACCACGCGTGATTCATGTGAAGTGTTTGAGCGCCTTTTCATCTCATTAATAACTAATAAATTAATACAACTTAGTGAGTTAGTGATTACATTACTCACATTAGGTTTTGAGCTTATCGTCTTTTCCTGTCACGGCTAATAACAATAAATCGGATCACAGAAATCTCAAGTGAGAGTGATTACTTCTCAAATTCATAAGTCTATTTTATGTATACTTTTTTATGAATTGTTTTCAAATCTTTTCGAAAGTTGGAAAACGATATCCACCAATCGAAGGTAACTTAGTTCGGATGACACTCGGTTTCTAACCATTCTAGAAACTTACTTCTACTCTTACTAGGACTGCATCATAGGGATGTAGGTCTAATCATTTAGAACCGTATAACAAAACAAAAAATTTATATGTATATATAAATGTTTAGAATACATTTAGAGGAAACCATTGTTGCTCACGAGCTCATTTTCTTATCGTATAGCAGAATCATGCCTCCGAAGAAATGTAGCCAACCCACCAGTAAAACCCCAATCCTTCAGATAGATTCAGCTACGTTTCAAGCTGCGGTCACAACAGCCGTAGCAGCTGTCATGGCTCACCTTAATGCTAACAACATAAAAGTTAGTGGAAATGTAATCGGCAATCTCGATCGTGGTGATAACCAATTTCAGCAACAAGTGCCTACTTGTAAAGACACTCCAGACTTCAAACCTAATATCCTGAAACGAAATTTCGAGAACGAGAAAGGGAATTGTTCAACTCAAGGACCTACTGAAAGGCAACAAACTGGGGCAGTCAATACCCACATCAGTCCTGCTATTCCAACACCGACCACACCATACTTGGTAAACCTCCAATACTGCAGCAAATGCAACTACCATCATCATGGAGTCTGTC